CGCTGCGCGTGACAAGCAGGGAGCCACCAGCAGCGGTAGAGTTATCCAAATATTGAGACATCACCCATATCTGGTCGAACTCGAGTGCATCTTCGGCCATGTTCCTACCACTGATGAAACCGCGCTGACAGCCATCAAGTCGATCTCTGGCTGTTTGCCGCGTAGGATGTGCGACCAGAGGGAGCGCGATCGCGTTGCCCACATTGTTTACTTCGAAAGGTCGCGGCGCGTCCGCGCGCTGGCGAGCTGCTGGCCCAGGCGCCGAAACGCCTTTCGGCGGGGCGGCCAACTTGGAAAACTTCGAATCTGGCGGCAGCCGCTGGGCGCCCATGAAATCCCCCAAACGGTTCCACAGCCCTGTTTGATCATCGAGCGCGGGCACCTCCACGCGCTGCATGGCGCGCCGCCAGGCCCTGGGCTGGAACCCGCCGTGTGGCGCCGGACGCACTCGGACTGGGATTCTGAAGCAACCCGGGGACATCGTGGGTCGGCGGGGCCGGCGCCCTGGCTGTAGCCTGCGGGGAGGGGCCGGGCGGCGCCCGGGGGCCGCGGCACATTGCATTCGCCCGAGCAAAGGCTCCCCTTCCGAGCATGCACAAAACATGTTCTCATTTTCAGCGCCCTCGGTCAGCTCTGCGCTTTCGTCGCCAATGGCGGCGCTCGAATAAATCCTCGGCTCGATCTTCGCCCGAGCTCCTGGCGGCCGTCTTGCAAGAGTATGATGCTGGTCCCCTTTGTCGGGCGGGAGGTCGAGGCCGCGTTCTTCGGCTGCGCGCTCAGGGCGGGCGAGACCTGCGATATGTTGGCGACGAGCGACGCGGCCATTTCATTCGCGCCTAGACTGGTCCACGAAGTCGCTGAACTCGGAGCGGGCGCGGACGACGCGTCGGGCCCTCGCGCGCAGCCGCGCCGGCAGTGGGCGGGGGGGGGTCGGAGCTAGAGTCGGATTTGACAGAACGAGCAGCGCGCAATAGTTCCGCGGCGCAGGATGATCGTTCGGCGTTCGTGGCGGCCCCGTCCAAGAGCGCATCGTGCTTCAACTCTAGACGCTTCGCGTATCCCCACCAGCAGGCACCGTTCTGGCGCTTGTGTTAGACGTTGGCTACAGCCACAGGAGAGCCTTCGGGGTGCGCAAGCCACACGCCGCCGTGGTCCCAGAGGCCATCGCGGGCGCTCTCCTTTGTGGTCGGCCTTCTCCAGGCATTGACCCGAACCCCCTCAGCGGCGTACAGTCTGGCCCACGTTCCAAGTGAGTGAATGGTTTTGGCACGTTCCGCCTGGCAGTCTGGCCCCACCTGCGGGTCCGACCTTTCCGCCCTCCCCACTTTCGCTGGCACACGCTCAGCGGCTTCTGGGGTCCGCGTGGTGGCGCCAGGGCTTCAGCTGGTATCTTCTCAGTTGCATCCTTTGCTGGCACGTGTCCAGCGTTGTTAATTTTCTGCTGCTGGCACATGCTCAGCTGCTTTTGGTAGTCGCGTGGTGGCGCCCGGGCTTCTGCTGGCGCCTTCGCGGTTGCCTCCTCGGCCGGCACTTGTGCTGCGCCGTTAATTATCTGCTTTCCCGTGCGCTGTGCCCCAGCCTCGTTCACACCGCCCTCTGGACTTTTCCTTGCGGGCCGCGAATCAAAAAAAGTATCCCCACCAGCCCATCCAAAAACGATGCCCAGGAAAACTGACGGAAAAAAAGAAAGAAGAGACTCACATAGTGAACCAGAGCGGGCAGCAACGGTGAATTGGGAGATCTTTTGTGGCGAAGGTTGCAAGTGGTATTGCTGGCGCTCGTGCTCCTGCTGGTACTGCTGCTGCTGCTGCTGCTGCTGCTGCTGCTGCTGCTGCTGCTGCTGTTGCTAGTGTTGCTGCTGTTGTTGCTGATGGTGCTGGTTCTCGGACGATGAGTAGACGGATCAGGGGGAGGAGGAGGAGGAGGAGGAGGAGGAGGAGGAGGAGGAGGAGGAGGAGAGGAGGAGGAGGAAGAAAAAGAAGAAGAAGAAGAAGGACAAGGAGGAGGAGGAGGAGGAGGAAACAGGGCGGACATATGATCCTCTTAGGATGTCTCTTGGGGATTGTTTTGGAAACCTCCTGGAGCGTCTGAGGGGGATTTTGGGGGCTTCGGGGATCCTCGTGAAACCTCTTCGGGTCTCTTGGGGGTCTCTTGAATGCCTCTCGGAGCCCCATGGGATATCTCGCGGGCGGTTGTTTTGAAGCCTCTTGGGACGTCTCGGGGGTCTCTTGGCGGTCCTGAGGATTCTTGGGCGTCTTCGGTGCCTCGGGGAGGCCGCTTGGGGCCCTCTTGGGGTCTGTTGGGGGTCTCTTGGGGCCATTTGTGGGTCATCTTGAGGCCATCCTGGGGCCTCTTGGGGCCTCCTGGGCGCCTCTTGGGCCCGTCTGGGCTCCTTTGGGGGCCTTGCCCGGGCGTTCTTGGAAGCTTTAGGGGCTCTCTTGGGGCCATCTTGGATGATGTCGGTCAACGAAGGGGGGGTCCTTAATTACCCCCCCCCCCAGGAGGCCAAAATGGTGCCAAAACCTTAGTAAAACCACCTCCACGCTCCGCTTTTGGTTCTTTGGACGCTCCGAGACGTCGCGGACCCCCCTGTCCAGGTCCATGGGAGGGGGTAGGGGGGAGGGGTACCCCCCCCCTCGAAGGGGAAGAAGGAGGGGTGGAAGAGGAAACTCTCTAAACCACCGACGCCCACAGGGCTGGTGGGAATTGTGGGTCGCATGATGCATGGGCTGTTTGATACCAGTAGGTCTTTGTTCGGGGCCGGTGGCAGCGCCCGAAGGATCCAGAAGAGCGCGCGCGCGTGGAATTGCTGGCACCTTGGATCCACAATCAGAAGCTGCCGTGGATCAAACAATCGGTGCCTGGGGCACGGGGCGCGCGGTCGAGGGGCTCAGCGAAGTCAGGTGGGACCCAGCAAGTGGAGCTCTCGGGCAAGAGGTCGAGGTCGACTGCCGCCAAGCTTGCGCGTGCGATCCAGGGCCCCGCCCCGCGCATTCGGGGTCGAGCCCCCCCCCCGGCTGGATGACTGCGCCCGCGAGCCTCGCGAGGGCCTCGCGCATTGGATCGCCCCCAACCTCTCCCCCCTGTGGTCGCGGCCCCATGGGCGCGGCTTGGCAACAGGTGCGGGCGCACCCCCCGCCCTGCCCCGGCGGGCGCGGGGTGGTTAGTGGTCGTGGAGGTAGTCGTGGTCGCCGTCGTCCGTCGTCGTCGTCGTCGTCCGTCGTCGTCGTCGTCGTCGTCGTCGTCGCCAACGTCGGCGCCGGCGTCGGCGGCGACGCCTCATGGTTTCACAGCGGCTACTCTCTCTGGACCACTTCGACGAAGTCTTCGCGCGCGAACGTGGCTCGAACAGCCTGGAGCGCACTCGTGTCCGCGTCCCCTGCGCCAGGAACGTCGCAGACGCTGCCGACGTGGAGGTGGTCCTTGAAACCGTACGTCCAACGTGAACATGTCACCCTTCGTGCCATCGACCTTCAACTTGCATGCATGCTGGCATGTACGCACTATCGCGCCGTGATCCCCTTGCAGGTGTCCAAACAGCGCGCGCTTCACTTCGCTGCTGAGAACTTCACCGCTGGAGCGTGCGGCGGACATCCCTGTTCGCAAGCGGAACTGCTGGAGTTAGAGCTGGAGTTGGTGAAGAAGCTGGAGTCAGGGGGTGTCCGCCCTGGCCGGGTCGGCCGACTGGGAGCTGGCGGTAAACTGTCAACCAGGTTACCGCCGGGACCCTCGTAGAGCTCTTAACACGCGAGTTCGTGTTCAGACTACGAGGAAAAAGCTTCCCCGAATATCAGCTTGAAAACTCGCAGACTGTATGTTTTTAAGGCAAAGGCCGTGCAAGGGGAGGGGGAAGGGCTGCATGCAGGTACAAGGCGCTGAGACTGAACTGACTCTGGGGGGGCCATCGCTCCGATATACCGGCGTTCGCCAGCTCTGCGTCGGCCGAGATGGACCCCAGGAGCTTCGCAGTGGTGTGTCTGGTGATCCCCCGCTCTTCGAGCTCGCCGAGATTGGGCTCGAACTGCTGCTGGTCCTCGCCCTTCCTGATCTTGTACTTCTTGGGGGGGAACTAAATTCATGCATGACAACCACTCTTGTACACGCGTCACTTCGCGAAAATCAGCGGACTGAGGAACATCAGCGCGCACGCTGAGGCAATGAGTTTGTTTCTTCCGTGGGTCGATCCAATGAGCGCCCGACGTGCTGGCCTCCCCCTGGAAATCCCTCGCGGCCGTCCTGCCTGAGAACTTGCCGCAGTAGAACCGTGCCACGGCGTCCAAGGTGGGTTCAACATGGCGCATATGTTAGGAATGCCTGACTTTCAGGCTGTCGTAGTGGCTCCTGCGAAGAAGCTCAATTTACGGCTGAGAGGCGTACCAATGAACTTCGCGCGTGGGTCACTTCCAGGAACGTCGCCATCTCCTGTGTGCCTTTTTTTGATATCAGATGCACCACCGAGCCTTGCAGCCCAACTGCCAGCAACTGAGCCAGATGAGCTCGAAGGGGCACGCGTAGATGGGGGCGGCGCTGAGGCCCTGGATCTCGGCCTGCTGCTTCTGGGCGCTGCTGCTGGGCCTCTCCAGCTGCAGGGGCATCCCGGGATGCTGGCCTGGGGCGCGCCGACGTGCACGCTCAGGGTGGCGACGTTGGTCTCCGCGGCACTGCAGCGGGCGCCGAGCTGCGTGATGATCCGGGTGCTCGCATCGGTGGCCGTCTTCTGCTTGATGCCTTGGTTTTGCTCCACCGCGCGAGCGTCCATGGCTGCCGCAATGGCCGCGTTCCTGCACAACTGCAACAGTACCGGAGACGGAATATGCACAGCCAGCGGTTGCCTGGGAAGCCTGAGGCTCTGAGGTGAAGGCTGCCCCCCAGGAGCCCAAGCTGCCTCGAGATATAGTTCACTTGAGCCAGAATTGCTACGGAGGAAGAGGAGGAGGATGATGAGGCGGAAGGGCTCAGGCGGGCCGCGGGGGGCCGGGGCGGGGTCTGTGGTCCCCGGCGGGAAGCAGCGACGCGGGCACCGCGGCACCGGCCAGCTTTCCTGGGATGGAGGTCGAGGGGGTGCTGGGGAGAAGGGGGGGGAAAAGGCAGAAGGATGAGGAGAAGGAGGAAGAGGAAACTGAGGTGGACCCGTGCCCCAAGATCCATCAACAATGTTGCAATAAACCCTCCCTCTAAAATCACTCATCCTCACAGAGGGCAATGCTCCGTTGGAGGACAACTTCCTGGCAATCCCGAGCCGCGCCACAATACCATCCTTGGGACTTCCACGCCGCGAATCAAAGTGACTTCTGCGTCTTGACAATCCTGAACGGCGCTAGAATACCACCTCTGGGACTTGAACACAACGAATCAACGTCACGGCTGCGCCCTGACAGTAATCTTCCGTGCCCAAACACCGCTTCTGGGACGCCGACCAAACGAATCCTTCAAACTGCCGGAACATCTCAAAATGAATGTGCGCGCCGGTGAAACGAGAACCACATTCTGAAAGGGTACCGCATCCAAGAAACTCTTGCAATTCTCTGGAACAAGTGTGCGCGGCGCTAAGGCGAGAGCCACACTTTGAAAACGGCCCGCTCTCAGTCCGTGAAGCTCCTGCAAACTCGCAACACGAATGCGCGCGGCGCTGAGGTAAGAACCACCTTTTGAAAACCACCCGCCCTCCATCCTTGAAGCTTCAGCAAATATTTGGAAACGAATGCGCGTGGCGCTAAGGCGAGAGCGACATGTTGAAAACCACCCGCCCTCCATCCGTGAATAAGCTGTGAAGAGATGTCAGGCGAAACGCCCGCCCCGTCCGACAACCGAGACCACCACCACCGAGAACCCACCGGGGGGGGGGGGGGCGATCTCTAGGGGGTGGCACGCCCGAGCGTCACCCAGCGCTGGACGATGCTGCTGCGTGCCACCGCTCCGGGGTGGGTCCACCCTGATGCGTTACCAATGGCGGTGGTCTCTGTGTCTCTGCTGACTCCTTGGAGGGGCAAGGGGCGGGGCGAGCGAGGGAGGGAGAGGGAAGGATGAGACCTCGGGGCCGAGCTCCGCAACCGTTTGGTACATCGAGTCTGTGTGCTATCGAGACCAATCCAACCTTACAACGCTTGGGTTGTTGGCTGGTACGTTTTCTGTCTCGTCGTTTCTTGGTGAAGCCTTCGCTGTGGGCGAGATTGGCTAGACCATGGCCAAACGTTTGCCTCATCGAATGTAATCTAATGTGCGGCCGTCATCCTGATGACCTGGGCTCCAAGGACAGAAAGAAAGATGAGATAAGAGGGAGGGGCATGCGAGAGAGAGACAGAGAGAGATAGGGAAGGCGTGAGGTGCCTGTGCGAGCGGCAAGCGGACTCGGTGGAGCAGGCCCGGATGCGCTTCGCAGTGTGTCACAGCAGAGGCCGAAGTCAAGGCTGAAATGCACAGAGAAGGGAAGGGAAGCAAAGGGGAGGTTCACTCCGCATCGTTGAGCGGTGCTGCAGCCGCACCTGCGCACAGGTCCCGTCCTGGGAGCAGCAGCCAGGCAAGTCGGGTTTGCACCCTCATGCCTTGCTGGACCTCGGGGAGGAGGAGGAGGAGGAGGAGGAGGAGGAGGAGGAGGAGGAGGAGGAGGAGGAGGAGGAGGAGGAGGAGAAGGGGAGGAGGAGGGGGAGGAGAAGGAGGAGGAGGAGGAGGAGCAGGAGGAGGACGGGGAGGAGGAGGAAGAGGGGAGGAGGGGATGAGGAGGAGGAGGAGGGGGAGGAGGAGGAGGAGGAGGAGGAGGAGGAGCAGGAGGAGAACGAGGTCGAGGAGGAGGAGGAGGAGGAGGACGGCACAGAAGCGAGGAGGAGAACGACGACGACAGGGGGGACAAAGACGAGTCTCGCGCCCTCGGGGTGCAGGAGGTAGAGGAGGAGGAGGAGGAGGAGGAGGAGGAGGAGGAGGGAAAGGAGGAGGAAAGGAGAAGGAGGAGGGGGAGAAGGAGGAGGAGGAGGAGAAGGAGGAGGAGGAGGAGGAGGAGGAGGTAGATGAGGAGAGGTCAAGCGTAAACCCACAAGTCATCACCGATGTTGGCATAAGCCCTCCCTCCAAGCTTCCTCTGCGCAGGCTCCTGCAACGGTTCACTTCCACTGAAGGAACTGCCTTGTCGGAAAACAACCGTTTGAAGATTCCGAAGCATGCCAAAACATTGCTCTCGGGGTTCCAACTCCACGGATCGCTCTGACTGTTGCGTCCTGACGAACCCGAACCGTGCCAGAACGCCATTCCTGGGACATTCACATCGCGAATCAACGCAACTGGTTTGCCCGCATACTCCTGAATGCTTCAAACAACCATTTTTTGGTACGCTGATCATGGGGGTTCGCGAAGCCGTTGTACATGTTAAGCGAATGTACTCGGCTCTGAGGCGAGAAACACATTTTGGAAAAGAACCGCCCTCAATCCGTACAACCCTTGCAAAATTGTGCAACGAGTGCATGCGGCGCTGAGGCGAGAACCACATTTTGAAGACCACCCGCCCTCAATCCGTTAAAGTATTGTACGTGTGTGAAACGAATGTACGCGGCGCAAAAGCGAACACCACAATTTGCAAAGGAACCGCCCTCAGCCCGCACAACTCTTGCAATTGTTTAAAACACATGTGCGCGGCGCTATGGCGAGAACCACATTTTGAAACCCATTCGCCCTCAATCCGTGAAGCCCTTGCAACTGTTTGAAACGAATGTGCGCGGTGCGCAGGCGAGAGCCACATTTTGAAAACCATCCGGCCTCCATCTGTGAAGCTGTTGTCAACGTTTAAGCGTTAGGGTCATAGCTGTGGACGAAGTCTCAGTTGAACCGCCCGACCCGCCCTACGACGAGCCTCGGGGTGCGACAGGGAGAAGCCATTTATAAGGAAAAGGCATGGTGCGGACTGCGACGGCGACGGCCCCAGACGTCGGGCGGAGCTTCGGGGGAACCTGCTCTTGTATCTGTCGACCCCCAAAGGCCTGCCTTGGGCCTACCTACCAGACCACCCCAACCCAACCCGAAGACCCGAATTTCGGGTTGGGGGCGGTAAGGGTTCCACACGAGATTTTTCGATGTTTCCCGACCCCCCCCCCACTGGAAATCGATGGTAAATCTGAGCCTTCGGGTTGGGTTGGGGTGGTTTGGTGGGTGGTGAGCCTTGGGCCCTGGGGCCCTCAAAAACAAGGCCCATGATGAATAATTGATGGACCAGGCGCCAGGGTGGACCCTGGAACAATTGTCCAGGGATGCGTTTTGAGCTCATGTTTGCCGGCAGGTGAGAAAGCAGTGGAGGCGGGCCATGAGGTCCTTAGCAATTTCAGTGCTAAACAACCCGTCTTGGAGGCTCCGCTGACGATGCACTGATGCAGAAGAGAGTTCGCGGCGCTGATTCCGCACCCTGGCGGCGGAAGGGGGTCATGCCGTAGCGCATGGCCCGCCGCCGCCCACCTCTGGCTTATTCTCGTGGGTGTCCGCGCGGGTGCTGCCAGAGCCTGGGGCGGGGCTGCTCTTTGCCAGCTGCGCCGCGTCTTCAGAGGTTGGTCCTTCTGCCTCGCCTCGGTCATCTGCAGGAGACTGGCCAACGAAATCATCCCTGCCAACTGACCGTTTTATCTCGGCTTGCCGTGATCTGCGATGGTGAGGGCCACTGGACTCGTTCGACATCAGTAGCTACGACGTCTAGCAGGCGCTCGAGGTGGGCAGTGTGATGCGATGCAATACTTCCCACTAGTGCTGTGCCTCGCGTGCACCTGTCTGTCGTTCGTTTTCGGCGTCTTTATGGTAGCCGTGGCAGTGCTCAGTGGTAGCGCGCAGGGGTGGAGTGTTGAGGCAAAGCATGGGAGGAGCAAGAGGAGGCGCAAGAGGAAGTGGAGGAGGATATTCAGCATCGACAGGCAACTGCTCAACAACAGACCTGGAGCATCGGGCGAGGCCGGCAAGGGACAGCGCGCAGAGGGCAAAAACTTCCCTGCGAGTGCACTGCCCGGCCGCAGTGATCTTTTTGTCAGCCACGCCCGATGGCAGACAAGTCCATGTCAAGACCTGCATAGCCTGTGTGGAACTGGTCCTGCCATGCCTGGACAGCTCACGGGGGCAGTAGGAGGAGAAAGGGCTGAAGGAGAAAGGGGGGAAGTGACCTGGGCCTCCAGGCATCGAGCAGCACAACAAAACATTGGCGAAATGTGTTGCACCATAATTTCGGCGCACGGGGACCGTTCGGGGGCCCCGAGACAATCAGACAACCTTCCGCGGCGCAAATACGGTCTCGGGGATGGGGCGCTGCGTTGGTTTAGTCTGCCCTGCCATCGCTGCTGCAATTCGTATGATTTTGCTGTCGCTCTGCCAGCCACAGCACCAAGCCATCTTGGCCAAGCCCAACTGGCTAAGCTTGGGCGACCTGTGCGCTTCTCAAAGGAATGCTGTTCCGAAGTTGACCTGGTCGCCTAGACTTCACTTGTCTCAGCCTTCACCTAGCTTGAGATAGCTTAACCGGAGCTGGGTTGGCTTGGAACTGATTGCTTGAGCAAGAAAACAGGCAATGGGACATACACGCACACACTCAACAACATCAGAGTATCATGAATGAGTTCCATAGTGTTTGAAAGACTTGGGCTGCTTAGGGGTCCTCTGGCAGCCCCTCTTCTTTCCCGTAATGTTCACGGAAACGATTAACTAGACACCTGGCGCAATATAGGAGGTACGGCTTGGCAGAATCGCCCTCGCCTGTCGCGAAAGGTGTTGCGCGTCGGCCAGACCCTCACAGGATTCAAAACTGCAAAAGGGGAGGATTGCACGCGGCGCAGTGCCACAGGGGAGGACGACGAGGAGGAGAGGGTCAAGCCCTGCAAGGGCTGTGCACGGGGCGGGAGGTGCCCTGCCCATATCTCGTGTGCCTTGCTGACCTCGGGGGGCCAAGGTCGGGAGTCGAGGTTATCGACCGCTGCCTATCAATCCTTTGGGGCCGCCGGCACGCACATCAGTTGTTGGCTGGTCGACTGCTTAGTTGGCTGCTTGCTTGCCTTTTTTCCTCCGCTGCTTCCCACTCGTGGAAGCGGGGATGCCTTTGCGTTTCCCTCCAGGTGGCTCTGACAACACGTCGAGCTGGCACGCCTCCGTTACCGAAGAGAGCCGTTCACGGGAGCAGAATTTCGGAACATCGCTACTGGCGCCGGTGGGCAACATTATACTTCCACTACGTTGGAATGTGTACACGTTGCTGCCACCTCCCGCCCCTTTGGAAAGGGATGTGGCCAAGCCCCTGGCCCAGCCCTTGCTCGATAAACGTGTACAGACCTTGTCCTCGCCCGCGGCGCGAAGCGTCGGTCGGTCCTCGGGCGACGGGGCGCATCGGCTAGAACAGCCATCGCCCGAGTACCGACCGCCCTTGAGCCAAGCCAAGGCGCCCTCCCGAGTTGGGGGCAGGCCAACACAAGCCGCCCCAAGAAGGGTGACGCGAGAGACATGCGAGAGATCTGTCGCGCTCCACCGTCGGCGAACGAGCGCGTAGGAGAGTGCGAGAAGAGTGCCAGGCTGAAACCACGAGGGAAAATACGAAGCGGCACGGCAAGGGACGTCGAAGCTAGCCAAGGCGAGAGACAGACTGACAACGGCGAAGGACGGGACAGGCATGGCGGCGCAACATGGGATATCGCATACACACACACACACACTGTTGGCGCCGCGGCCTCGCGCGCAGCGACGAGGCGTAGAAGGGCAAGAGGCGAGAAAGAGCGGCGGAATCACACACATGCGCACACGCCACCTCAATGCAACGAAAATCTTGAAGGGGCCCACAAACACACAAATAAATACACACAAATAAATACACTCCCTATATTTTCATATATTTTCTGGGTTTTTGTCTTCCCCCCCACTTCCCATATTTTCGCATATTTTCTGGTGAATCGACGATGAATTGTGCCTGTGTGTTTCTTTCCCTCCTGAAATCTGCCTGCCCCAGCCGCCGCCCACTCTCAACACTTCAGGGACGTGCTGACCTTGGTCCGCGCGAACCCGGGCCAGCCAGAGCCATGCCGCGAACCCCGGCGGGCCACACAGTGGCTCCCAGACCGGGCGCGGCCGAGGGAGGGAGGTCGGGAGGGGTCGGCACCACGTGGCCGGCTGCGGGGCCCAGGAATCCAAACATGCGCACGCCTCCCCTGCGCTTTCGCCGCCTTTCGCCGACCTCCTGCCAGCGGACTCGCTGTCGTCTTAGTTCCGCCAATGTCCGCCGAGGGCGAGGCGTGCCGAAGGCGAAGCCCTTTGGGGCACACCCCACAAGGCTCCCAAACCTGGGTCGGCCAGAGGGGATCATCGGAGGCAAGCGACAGGAGACAAGGGCGGGTGATACGAGGGTTCGGGAAGGCCCGAAGACCCAAGACACGCGCCTGCTGCGCGGAATCCAAAGCTCTCTGGACATGAGATGCTCGGGCCTAACCCCATCGGGCAGCTCTCTTCAAAGCCCTCCACTTTGGACGCCCGACATGGGTACGGAAAGAATGGGCACAATGGCCAACACAATTGTTGTCCCGAATCAACAGCGGCCGCTGTTTGGCAGGCGGCCTTCTGTCTCAAATGGACACAATGCGCGGCGACGCCGACAGCGAACCCTGTCCAAAATGAGCAAGAAGTGCTGTCGGTCTTTGTGCCCACTCTTTCCGTACCCATTGCCGGTCGTCCCGACCCAGCCTCTCTCCACGTGGGGGTCCCCTCCCGGTGCGGTGACAGACCGCGCGGCGACCTCGCACCCCGACAAGACCTCATCGCACGGGGTCCGCCGCCGCACCGCTCCCGGACCACTGGAAGCCTCAGGTCGCCCGAGACGTCCTCGGAGAACCGTCCAGGTCCCAAAGCCGTGCGGCCCCCCCGAGGCTCATCGACCGCCACCGTGGATCTTCCGATCCATCCTCGATCCGTACTGGCAACGGTACTGAAACCGGCCAAGACAGACAGGCGCAACGACGCGGCAATTACATAGCAACCGACCGAACGGAGCCCGCCGAATGCAACTGACCGCGACGCCGCCGAACCGCCCGAGCCGCGGACATCCTTGTGAGGGGGAACGTCAAGTGGGGACCACGCCAGAAGTGGAAACGCCGAACGGCCATTGGCGGTGCACCGCCTCGAGGATGGGACACCGACAGCGAATCCGCGCGATCCATCGGCGAGGTGGGCTATTGGGCCCGTATGGGCGATGAGTTGGCGATTGGGGGCTGATGCATCCCCCGTGAGCCTCCCCCCCCCTGCCGTTGCTCCTGACCTCGCCCATCCTTTGAGCAGGGACCGACCGTCCAGGCATTCCTGTAGTCCTACCACGAAATGTTCGTAGAACCTGGAAATGCTCTAAGAACAAAACTACGTTCTTAGAACAGAAACCCGATGTGCTAAAACAAGACAGCCCCAGCCAGAACTGTTCTGAGAACATTTCGTGGAAACCACAACAGGTTCTTGGAGCCCTGTTTGGTAGGACTATGGGCACGCCGGGACGCTTCGCCACTGCTTGCCATCCTCCCCTCCCCGGGGGAGCGCGGCGGGGTCCCGCCGCAGAGCTCAGTGCTCCGCCCAGCAGGCCGCCGGCCGCCGCACCCGGCGCAGCCTCGGGAGAGGGGGACGGGCACTGCTCCGGGGGGGGGGGGTCCTTCGAGCAGGGGGGGCCGACGCCAGAGCTGTCCTTTGCCCCGAGGGCACTTCCCTCCTCGAGTCTACGAGCTCAAACATGCGTGGAGTTCCTTCGTAGATGCGACGCCAGAGCTGTCCTTTGCCCCGAGAGCACTTCCCTCGTCGAGTCCACGAGCTCAAAGATGCGCAGAGTTCTTCGTAGATCCGACGCGCAAGTCCACCTGGGGGCAAGGCAAGCCTGCAGTCGATCCTCTACTCGAGCTCCGGCATCCCCCCCTCTCGAGGATCGAGCTTCGAAGACTGGGCGTCTACACTTCGGTCGGACACGTCCTCCTGCAGGCGGATTTTGAAGGACAAATGGAATAGACTCAAACTGATCAAATAATAGGACAATTGAATAAACGAATTTGTCCCCCTGATCAGGAAGTGTTCAAACATAGTCCAAGGAACATTTTCAAACTGATCAAACAGTAGTAACCAAACATAGTCGAGTCATCCTCAAAAACAGTAATCGTCCCCGTGCTATTTCTTAACCGCCGAGTATTCCTCCTGTAGAGGAACGTGCCCGATTTGTAAGCCTACGGTCGGCGTGCTACTGGAAGGAACGCCGAGCAAGGCGCGGACGCACATGCGCTCCTGGCCACGGCCAGCCCCGGCCACGAGCAGGGCCTCCCCGGCCGCCGGACCGAAGGCACCGGCCCCGACGCCAGTTACAGCCGGGGCGCTGACCTAAGGAACCTTAAATAAGGAACGAGGCCCCTTTTCTCCAGAAGTTGAATTTCGAATTCCCATGGAAAACTTCAGGAAAACAGAAGGCAAACTGTAGAACAATCAAGGAGCACCGAGCCCCTCCCCAACGAAAAGGGTTCCTTCTGCAGGGCCTGGCTGCATGCTGCTCCCATCGCACTTAAAACACGAAAGTTACGGTGGGGGCATTGGACACTGAATCGCTGGATAAGGAATCCAGGGTCTGGAGGCCAGTGGGGCTCCAATCGTGGACTGGCCATGGATATCACCGCCGCCCTCGTCAGACCAGGAATCCTCCAGGGCCTGAAGCCTCCTGGGCGCATTCCTGTACGCACGCCCCCACGGCGTGCTGCTCCCCTCGCACCAGAGACACCAGAGTCCTGTTGCTCCCCTCGTGCTTAAGCGCCCAAGCAGTAGACTGCAGCCTGGGCAGCCAACACACACCAACCTCTCCACGAAACCGACGGGTGCGCTCGCCGGCCAGAGGCCGACGCCGGTCATCCAGGGGTCACCGCTGGGGGGTCGCCGCCTCGAGGCCGCAGACCGCTCGGGTGATGTTGCGCCACTCGCACTTTGGGACCACATCCCATAAACAGTGTCGATCACGGTGTCTAACGAGTCTCGCCTCCCAGGGCCCGACACGCGAAAGCCTTCAAGTTGCGGTATTCGTTCTTGGTGCTCGAAGTTCTTCCTGGCGGTCAAGGCTAGAGTAGGTTGGCACACCATGACACCAGAGCCGCTCCCCAGAGCCCCAAGAGAGCCTATCTTTTCGGCGTCTTGGCCGTGCGTTCTGGCACGTCCTTCGCACGGATTGGGGGCCCCTCCGCGCGTCTCCTCGTCGCGACGGTCGAACCCAGGCCTCCTCGCGTCGTGACAAGACATATCGACGGACGTTCTTGCCGATCTTCTGCATCCGCGGGATCTTACCAGGCCCTGGGGCGACCGAAACACGACTCGGGATGAACGACTGGCCCTGGGGAGCTAGTCGGGACTTCTGGGGGCTGGGCACGCGATTATAAAACACAGCGAATCTGATCTCTGAAAAGAGGAGCACAAGTATAGCATCAGTCACACCGCTGCGGACCCCAGCCCCCTCGCCGACTTGAGCATGACGGCGTGTCAGTCAGGCCGAGCCGCGCCAGAGAATCCGAAGGTGGGGCTTCTAATGCGTCTCCACCGCCACCCTTGGGTCCAGGGAGACCTGCCCCCCAGGCGGTGGCTGTCTATGAACCCCAGCCTCGCAACAGAGGGAGCAAGAGGCGATGTCCCATCCCAGAGAACAAAACATAGTCCTAAACTGGGATCCCTTGATTTAGAAGATGGAAAGGGGTGTGGTGTAAAGGGGTGTGGTGTGGACGCCCTGCATGCCCATGGAAACAACGATATGGGCGACTTCACTGCGTCGCCATCTGCGACGCACGCGGCCGAATCCAAAGCAACGCCGGCACCGCTGCTCCAAGTGGGCCACGGCGAGGTGGGAATGAATGCAAGGGGTATACAAACGATCGGATGGTAATGCAAAACGGACGTGGACCTCTAGTGCGCCACACAAACGCGAATCAGACGCATTCCGCCGGTCTCCGCCTGCCCCTCTCCGGCGGAGCGACCCTCGTTTCACTCCCGCAGCCTTTTTTGCCGAGGAAGCGGTGCCAGCTCCTTCGGCCCTCCGAACACAGCAAACATGTTCTGGACCGCCGCCTGCAGAAACCTTGCATCCAAACATGACGACGCCTCTTTCTTGCCTCCACACACACAGGTCACTGCCCCCCCTCGTCCACAGCTCTGGAGGCCTCGCGTTGGGCTAGTAACACTACCTACCGTGCCGAAACAGATCAGGCATCGGCGCGATCGAGCTGTTCGATCGAAGCCCGTGAAATGCACGAGACGAAACGAGGCCAGAGAGGAGGACCAGGAGGGCCCTCCGGCGAACTTCCGCCGACTTCCGCCGACTTGCGCCAGCGGGCCCGTCGCCGCTTTACATTGGAGGCCAGCCCACAAGAAACCTTCAACAAGAAACCCAACCCTGAGACGCCATGACGTCCACTGACTTTTGGTGTGGGGGCGCCTCGCCTTCCATCGCAAAACCGCCGAACAACCCAAGAAACCTACGGCAACCTGAAGGCGAGCAGGGTGTTTCTTGGCATGGGTTTCCGCTGTACTTCCACCGGCCTTCCCCGCCGAAGGCGAGGCACGCCCACGGCGATGCCCTCTCTCTGGAACGCGCCAGGTGCACAGGCGGGGGCCGTCCGCGGCCGCTCCTCGAAGACTCTCTTTTTGGTCTTGCTGCCCCCCCCCCGCCCTGGGCCACCCGAGACGCCCTCGGCGGGGCGCAGCTGCTCGAGTCCACCCTGGGACTGGAAAACTTCATGGGGCCGGCGAAGGCGTCAGGAAACGCTGGCCCGCGCACGAAAAGGCGCATCCGACGCATCCCGAGACTGGAAGGCTTCCGGGAACTCACGAAGGCGTCTGGAAATCCCAGGCGTTGGGAGGATGAAGAGGGTGGAGAGAGGACGGGGAGGGAGGAGGATTACTTCAGCTTGCGCATCTGATTCAACCACTGGATGAGGAGGGAGGAGGAAGGGGGGAAGGAGGAGTACGAGGCAAATGAGAAGGGGAGGGGGAGGAGGAGGCGGCATGAGGAAGGGGGGAGGGAGGGAGAGAGGGAGAGGGAGAGGGAAGAGGAGGAGGAGGAGGAGGAAGAGGAGGATGAGGGATGGATGATGGATGGAATGATGATGATGCAGAGGAGGAGGACAAGCTAGGTGCGGTCGCGCCATATCTGACGTCCGATCCGTCCCTCCCACAAGTCCCCATTGCGTTGATTGCTTCTCTATCCGCGGACGCGTGTCCAAGCCGACCTGAAGCTCCACAGAAGACCCCATCGTGCTACGCGCAGTCGGACAAGGAAAGCTTGTGTGGAACCTGTGCGACCTGGGTGACCAGTGTTACCTGTGAGTCCTGTGAAACATGCGACACCTGTGGGGCCTGTGGGACCAGTGGGACTTCTGTGGCACCTGTGGGGCATGCGACACCTCGGGGACCTGCAGGACCTGCGGGACCTGTTGGACCTGTGGGGCTTGCCTGTAGGATCTGCCAGACTTGTGAGACCTGTGGGACCTGCGAGGCGACTTGCGACACTTGTGGGTGTAGGACCTGTGGTACCTGCAAGACCTGCGGAATCCCGAACAGTGGCCTACGCTGGGGCGGGAACGCCTTTCGAAATAACTGGAGCACAGCGCCGATCCGAAAAGAAGGGCCACGCTGCAGCGAGAACACCATGTGTGAAACCACGTGAGCAATCGGATGGCACAATAACCATGTGGAAGCAAACACCGTTCGTGCAAAACCGGTGTACAACGACAGCGCGGAGGGATCGAACTCAGGAAACACGAATGACAAGCTCGCTCGCGCAAGACATCAGTGTATAAAAGGCCCATGCGCGGAGGGGTGGGTGGCCACTGTCCGGACATGCCCGGGGGAGAGAACGGAACAGTACTCCTCTTGTGTCATTGTGGATGGGGGGAGGGGGTGGGAAGGAATGGAGGAGTTCAGGAGGAGCAGGCGGAGGAAGAGGAGGAGGAAGAGGAGGCCACAGCCCCAAGGGACGACCGACGACGGCGAGACGACAGGCTCCATCCCAATCCTCAGCCTGCTCCAGCTAAGACGTCGGAGAACCGAGGCGGGGCGCGCCTGCGCGACTGACGAAGCCGAGCACAAGCCAAGTTTTGCGGAAACGCTGCCGCTCGAGGATGGCGGCAGGGCGCGGTGCCACCACTTCCGTTCGTCGCAGGCGGCGCCGCAACGGCCGAGGAGCAGGAGCAGGAGGAGCAGGAGGAGGAGGAGGAGGAGGAGGAGGAGGAGGAGGAGGAGGAGGAGGAGGAGGGGGAGGAGGAGGAGGAGGAGGAGGAGGAGGAGGAGGAGGAGGAGGAGGAGGAGGAGAAGGAGGAAGGCGAGGAGGAGGAGGAGGAGGAGGCGGCGGCGGCGAAGCGGTAACGGGCCGAGTCGAGCATAACTCCGACAAAACAGCAATCGAAATGAATTTCGAATTGTGCGACCTACCGTGCGCTAGTAAACTGCGAGTGCAGGCCCCCCACGACGGGAGCCCCGACTGATTAATCGCTCGACCAAGGCTGAACACGAAGCGAATTCCAGCACCCCGCACTCCCTGCAGCGAGCACCTAGTAGACGGAGCCACCAGGGCCAGAACCCGCCCACTAAGACCAGCAGCAGGACGGACGACGGCCAACTATCCAACTATCCAGGAGTCCCACGGCCAGGAGTCCCACGGCCAGGAGTCCCACGGCCCTAGAGCGAGACTACCTGGAGGGTCCAGTGACCATTCTTACTAACTCTTTAAAACTCTACTGTCTTGGGGCGGAGGGAGGAGGGAGGGCGGCAAGTCGAGACGGTGCCTGGCCCTTGGACACGCCCTCAGAGGCAGCCCTTGACGCAGGTGATCCCCTCCCCGCCCCAGTCGGAGCCGTCGACGCAACCGATGCTGTCGCACCAGTCGGAGGAGACAACGCCAAAGTCGCCGTCGCACCCGTCATAGTGGACCCCGCCACCGACGCCGTCGCACCAAACGAAGGCGGCGACGTCGCCGACACCGTCGCACCAGTCATAGTAAACCCCGCCACCGACCTCGTCACATCCTTCACAGCATCGAATCCTCCCAATCGTCGATCGCCAGCTGCAGGATCCGCTCTACGTTGGATCTCGGGGCAACTCCTGCTTTGATCTCGCCGCCTAGCTGGACGATGCAATCCGTGAGTATATTTGTCAACTCCACGTCCGCGATCGCGAACAAGAGCTTCGCATTGCCCTCCTTGTAGCACTGGCTGATACGGAATCCGCGCACCAGCAGGCTCATGTCCGTGATGCTGGTGATCTGATCGAGCTTGATCTTCTGCTGCTCCCACAATCCCTTGTTCCGAGCTCCGACCTTGTCCCCCGCCTTGCCCAGTGCGTCGGCCGTGATCAGGAACACCTGAACGTGAGCAGGGCCCATCTCCGCCTCTGGCAGCGGCTTGGAGTTGTCGAGCTCCCATGCCTCGCGCATCGCCGCCGCCTTCGTGGCGTAGGCGCGCCCCGCCTGAAAGGCGGCCTTTGCAATCTCCGATGACTCCTCCAAGATCACCGTCTGATAGGTGGCCGACAGCATCTGCCTGATCATGAACGGGTTGCCCAGCACTGCTTTGACCAGCACGGGCATGAGCTTCGCCACCATGGTCTGCGACATCACAGGCAGCCTCTCGAGCGTGTCGTCTGGCAGGCCGTACGCTTTCCCCACCGTCCACTTCACGTCGTTGGCGCTCCCCCCCGCCTCCGCAGAGGCGCCGCTCGCGGCGGCGCCCAAGGCGGCCGCGGGCTGGCGCCGAGGTGGCCGACTGCCGCGGTCCGCCACTCCACGTCGTCCGCGTCTCCCGCCACGACCTCGGGAGACAGCCGCTGAGCCAGAGCGGTCTTGTCGCCCTTTGGCTCTCTCGCCTCGTCCTTGCGAGCGGCTGCGGGTCGCTGCTGCCTCGAGGTCCTCTTCCTTCAGGCGAAACATCACGAAAATAGCGTGGGCGGCGTAGTTGGCAGCACTGACGAATGTGGGCGTAGAGCAGATCACGACTGGCGAAAATCTCGGTGCTTGAGCAAGCGTACATGGCATCGTGGGCATTCAGACCATCCCTCCACAGTGACGCACGGGTTATCAGCGAAAAAGGGCACGTGAGGCTGTCTGGCTCGATCACGTCGTGCGCATACGGTGTAGCCCGTGGTGGGCATCTATTGTGCAATACAGCCGTTACCGCGTGTTCCTGTGCTATGCGTCTCGTGCGGAAACTCTGCCTGCAGTATATACACTCGTTCGTGATTGTCATACTGTGCGCGATCGATCTGCAATTGTGCCCGCCAGTCTGCGAGAATCTCTGATGTGCCAGTAGTGCCCGACGTGTCGTGAAGGTACGCGTGCAGGGAGCGCCCGTAGAGTCCTTGAGGTCACATACCCAGAGGGGAGCAGGGGGGTCAGGTACGTCAGCGCCCTCAGGAGCGCCAGGAGCCATCCCAGGGGGTCCGTAGAGGCCAGGAGGTGGCGCGATGGCCACAGTACGAGCAGCAGCCCTGAGCACCCCAGGATCCAGACGGAGAAAACGTTCCCGAACGTCGTGGTCCATAAACAACGCACGGACGTTGAACCGAAACCTCTCGTCCCCCTCCGAGCCCGTCAAGAGGTCCTCCAAGAGCCCCTCCTCCTCCTCAGACCTCTTCAACAACTTCACGACATCGACGACGAACCTCTGCGCATAAGCGTTCGCCTCCAGAGACAGACAGCCGTTCGCCAGGATCGTCGGCCCAGGGTCCACGGGAAACAGATCCCAGCTCCTGGGCGTGGGTACGTGGAACCAGAAGCCATCGCCTGTACATACGTAGGCGTCTCACCATCAACTCAGTGCCAGCGGGAGCCACACCGACACGCCTGAGAACGACCTCATCGGAGTCGGCCTTGTATCTTAGGATGGGCTTATCATTCGAGTCACGGATGGGGTCCCCCTCGGAATCGACAACCTCGAGCTTTTTGCACGCGTCACCTCCCAAGATCTTCCTAGCGAAACCAACAAGGACACGATCGAGACGCCGTTCCTGAGTGGGGGTCAGCACGAGCACCGTCAGTCCAGATAGAAGAGCGCCCTGCACAACCGATCCAAACACAGTGCGGGTGAACCGCCATACCCTATTTTGCTTCCAGAAACGACCCATACCATAGAATCCCCTGCGGCATGCCACGATTCGCCTACGCAGTTCACTCTGCACTCCCCCGTTGACTGAGGTCGAGATCCCAAGAGCGATGTTGTCGAACTGCACGCGACCGTCGACGGGGGTCCTGCCACTGAAGAGCTCCGACGAATGACGATGTGCCCCAGGGCCCACGAAAGAGGGAGACACGCTGCTTTTCTCTGCATTGTGAGCATACCCGCTGCAAGCCAGCTCCTCGCGCAAGAAAAGGTGAGCACGAGATAAAGTATACTGAACATTTCGCGCAGACGTGACGATATGAGTACGAGACGTATCGTCCGCATAGATTCGACATGATAAATCCACAGGTCGCTGAAGAAAGGGCGTCCAGGCCGTGCACAGTGCCTCGCTGGGCCAGATCACCCTATCAGGGTCGTCAGGCGGCACCGGTGGGACCAGCCTCTGCGAAACCCACTCCTCGTGAGTCTCTGGCCGAGGTGGCGCAGGCACATCGCACCAGGTGGCCTGTCGCAGACGATCAAGCCATCGTTGGACAGGCCGTCGAAAGGTGCGGGCAAAGAACACGGCCGCGGGGCTGTCGCCCATGAAGGCCCCGACCTGGTTATGCAACGTCTGCTCACCATCGGACGCCTGAATCGTGAAAGTCGCCAGCTCGTGCCGCTGGTGAAAAAAGGTCTGATCCTGCGGCAGGACGGCGTCACACACCGTCTCCCGCAGCTCACTGAAGGGGGTGCAGCCGAAAGCGTTCGACATATCCTCCTTCGAGGTGATCGTGGAGATGCCCCTAGCCCGCAGGCGAGACAGCAGCGCCTCCTGGCAGATGATGGCCCCCTCGCGGTTCCTGCCTGGCAAGTAGCCATGCTCCCGATCGGGCTCGGAGTCAGCAGCTCCACGGCGAAGAAGGGCCTTGTACCACATCACGCCCATGCGGCACAGGCCGTGAATGTACCGCCTAGCACTGAAGCCTGCCTTGCCGTTACACTTCGAGAGACCTGTGGCACGGGAATGATGCCAGACAATCGGAGTACGGCAGGAGGAGGAGAAGGAGGAGGAGGAGCAGGACGCGTACCGGCCCGGAGGATCCCCCCATTCGCCGAACAGGTCGGCAACCAAGGCCACGCCAAGCGCGGCGCACATGGCGCCCGCAAGGCACTACCAGCGCGCCTCCCACCCCGCCTGCCAGGACTCCTGCAACATCGGCAACGAGATTTCTACGGGCCCATATGGGCCTAGGCTTCCACAGCTCGAGGCTCATTCTTACGTGAAGGCATACCGCAGGCTGGCATGCGTAGCCCGTCGAAGGGCCCATCGCCGTGGACGACCTCATAACCATTTCTTCCCAGAGGAACGCCAGGCCTAGTGGGGAGGGGAAGGGAAGGGGAAGGGAGGGAAGGGGCGCTCCGATGGCCGCGCGGCCACAGGGCCGCAGGCCTGCGACGCCGCCGCCGCCGCGCCGGCGCCGGCGTGGGCGGCCGCGGCGCCGCGCGCCTGCCGCGGCTGCGGGCCCGCCGTGTGCCCCCCCCCCCCGCACGGTGTGCCCCGGCGGCGCCCGGGTCACGGCTCCTCGCTGCTCCGCAGCGGCTGCTCGCTCCCGCTCGCTCCTGCTCGCTCCTGCTCGCTCCTGCTCCTCCCCCTCCGCATCGTCATCGTCATCATCATCATCATCATCATCACCATCATCATCATCATCATCATCATCATCATCATCATCATCATCATCATCATCATCATCATCATCATCATCATCATCATCATCATCATCATCATCATCATCATCATCATCATCGTCATCATCATCTCATCATCATCATCAGCATCATCATCATCATCATCATCGTCATCATCATCAGCATCATCATCATCAGCATCATCAGCATCATCATCATTGTCATCATCATCGTCATCATCATCATCACCAGCATCATCAGCATCATCAGCATCATCAGCATCATCAGCACATCAGCATCAGCATCAGCATCAGCATCATCAGCAGCAGCAGCATCAGCATCAGCATCATCATCAGCATCAGCATCACAGTCATCATCATCAGCATCAGCATCAGCATCAGCATCATCAGCATCAGCATCAGCATCAGCATCAGCATCATCAGCATCATCAGCATCAGGCATCATCAGCATCATCACATCATCATCATCATCATCATCATCAGCACCATCATCAGCATCATCCTTCTCCATTCCTCGTGCACGTCCCCCCATCCCATCCCACTCCTTCTCCTCTCTCTCCTCCTCCTCCTCCTCCTCTCCCCCCCCCCTCTTCTCCCCCTCCCCCTCCTCCTCCTCCTCCTCCTCCTCCTCCTCCTCCTCCTCCTCCTCCTCCTCCCTTCCTCCTCCCTTCTTCCTCCTCCTCCTCCTCCTCCCTCCTCCTCCTCCTCCCCTCCTCCTCCTCCTCCTCCTCCTCCTCCTCCTCCTCCTCTCCCACAAGCTGCTCCGCGCTCGCGCGCTCGCTCGCTCAGCCTCCTCCTCCTCCTCCTCCTCATTATCCGTGTTCGTGCACGCCCTTCCTGCTCGCTCCTCCTCCTCCTCCTCTTCCTCCTTTTGTCCCTCCTTTTTCTGTTCCTCCTCCTCCTACCCCCCCTCCTCCTCCAACCCAACTCCTCCTCGCCCCTCCTCCCGCCCGCGGCGGCCGTGGGGGAAGATTTGAGCGTATCTGACCCTGCTCTGGACGTCAAGCCCCCAGAGGCCTGCAGGGGCCTTCGGGGGACCGCCCCAGACATCTCAGGGTCCAGGACCTGGTGCGAGGGTAAAACCTACCACCGCTCCTGCTCCGTTTCCTGTTCCTCGTCCTCCTCCTCCCCCTCCTCCTCGTCGTCATCATCTTTATCACCATCATCATCGTCACCATCGTCATCAGCAGCATCATCATCATCATCATCATCATCATCATCATCATCATCACCATCACCATCATCATCATCATCAGCATCATCAGCATCATCATCACCAGCAGCATCATCACCATCATCATCATCATCATCATCATCATCATCATCTGCATCATCATCACCATCACCATCACCATCAAACCACCATCCTCCTCCACCTCCTTTTCAACTCATCATCATCATCATCAGCACTGTCACCACCGCCATCAACATCACCATCACCAGCACTAGTAACATCATCAACATCATCGCCACTACCATCACCATCATCATCATCAGCAGCATGATCACCATCATCGTCGCCATACTCATCAACATCATTATCACCACCATATTGAGCAGCAGTGACAGCGGCATCATCTTCAGCATATTCATCAGAATCATCGTCATCATCATCGCTACCATCATCGTCCTCCTCCTCACCCTCCTCCTCCTCATCACCATCATTCGCAGAAACAACATCAGCACCAGCATGATCCTCCTCCGCAACATCACCAACGTCTTCATCAGCATCATGATCATCATATTCATCGCCACCGCCATCATCGTCATCAGCATCAGTAGCAACATCACCATCAACATCATCAGCATCAGCATTACCATCAGCACCGTCATCGTAACCATCATCATCTCCAGCATCAACAACAGCATCACCATCACCATCACCACCATCAGCACCATCAACATCATCATAATCATCATAGTCGTAGTCCTAGTCCCACCAGCCCTCTGGGCGCAGGTGGTCTAACGAGATTCCTCTTCCCTCTTCCAGAAAACCCCTCTTCCCCTACGGGGAAGGGTTTACCCCTTCCCCTACCCCCACCCCTGGACTTTTGCGGGGGGGTTGGCGAGGTGCCAGGGCGTCCAGAACGGCTTTGGCGAGGAAGCCAAACTCATTGGTGATACTAAGGTTCTGGCCCCAGTTTGGCCTCTGCGGGGGGGGGACTGAACGTTATACCATCTCCTCCTCTGGTCGATGGCCTTCAAGATGGCCCCAAGACGCTTTCCAGGGCTCCCAAGAGGGCCCCAAGAGGGCCCCAAGAGGATTATAGGAGCCCTGAAAGCGCCCCAAGAGAGATCCAATACCCTCCCAAAGAGCCCCAGGAGAGCTCCAAGAGGCGACTTTGAGGGCTCCTGGGAAGGGGCCGAAATCGAGGACACCCCATCTTTTGATCGATGCTCTCCTAGACGGCCCCAACAAGCCTTCCAGGGCACCAGCCGCAGCACCAGCAGAGGCAGCAACCACATCAGCAGCACCACCGGCAGCAGCAGCACCAGCTGATGGCTAAGAAATCCCACCAGCCCTTTGAGCGACAGGTGGTCTGAGGGATAATGAGGAAGACATAAAGCGGAAGCACTCCTCCTCCTCTTCCTCCTCCTCTTCCCCTCGCCCCCACGCGGCACCCAGGGATGGCCCGAAGAGGCCTTCCAAGGCCACCCCATTGCTCCCAGAGATCTCTCGGTTCATCCTGGTTGCTCGCTTTGTTTCCCTATATGTGTCTCTTCGTCCCTTTTCTCGTCAGCTCTCGTGGGCAGGGCTCCTAAATGGGCTGGTGGGGATACGCGAAGCGTGAAGCATGATCATCATCATCATCATCACCATCATCATCAGCAGCATCATCATCATCATCATCATCATCATCATCATCATCATCATCATCATCATCACCATCATCACCATCATCATCATCATCATCATCATCATCATCATCATCATCATCATCATCATCATCACCATCAGCATCATCATCATCAACACCAGCGTCTTCATATTCATCTGAATCGTCATCACCACCATCATCATATTCACCATCATCCTCACCATTACCATCATCACCGCCATCAGCATCACCAGCATCACCATCATTATCACCATCAGTCCTCCTCCTCCTCTTCTTCCTCATCCTCCTCTTCGTAATTCCTGTGCCTCCTATTCCTTCATTTCCCTTCTGCTGCCTCCTACTCTTCCTCATCGTCATATTTCCTGCTCCGTTTCTTCCCTTGTCGCCTCATCCTACCTCCTCCTCCTCCTCCTCCTCCTCCTCCTCCTCCTCATGCGTATTGTTTCTCTTCTTGCCCTCCTTCATCGTAGTACCAGCAGGAAAAGTATCAATAGCAATAGTAGCAGCTGTCTGAGCCTGCGCAACTGTCGCCAACTGCGCCTCCGCAATGTCCGAGGGCTGCGTGGTGGTCGAGCTCGCGGGGACTCGTCGTCGCTCCGATCGTACCCCAACTCAAGTTGTTTATTGATTCATCGTTTTGGTAAGTCGGATCCGCCGCGTCTGCCGAGTCACTCGCGCTGTGTGTGGCCGACCTTACGCTGCCCCACGGGTGACACGCTGCTGGCTGCGCGGGCTTACCACGACAACTCCGGTAGCCCTCGTCAGCACGCCAGGGGGAAGCTCACGTGCGCCTGAAGCCCTCAGTGCGCGTCTACGTTGAAGTGACCGCCTCGTCGCTGCTGACATGGGCAGGAGCCCCGCTGGTGACACGGTGGCCCTTCGTGAGCCTGACGAGGCCTGCAAGGGCCCCTATTGGCACAACCAGGGCTAACGCACAAACATGTTCATCAAACACAACTCGTTTAAGCCACGTGACATCTCCTGGGGAATCACGCTGGCTTCCGCAAGCGGAACCGCACGCGTTGTACTTGCGCCGACCTTCTGACGAGGAAAAGGTGTGCCAGCATCTCGACACTCCCTTCCCTGGCGCGCGAATCGCGCCAGGCGCGGCATCAGAGGCGCCGCCAGAGATACCAAGCGCAGACACAAGAAATCCGCGCGGGTCTCCGACCGTTTGCGCCTGCACCGCTTTCACGTTTAACACGATGGGTAGCAGTCGCGAAGCCAAAGCGAATGCCGCACGCAGCGCCCCCGAGCGCGCCCGAGCGCCCGAGCGCGCGCCTCCATCAGACGGGCGGCGCGAGAAGACTCGACAAAGCCGAATCCTTCGCAGGAAGGGTCCGGACTAGGAGGAAGGAACGAGCGGATCAGCATGGGAACTCCGCCCACGAGCCTTCGCTTTGCCTGCCTGGTGCCGCAACTGATTACGGCCAAACCTAAAACCTAATAACATCCCTCAAGGACATGAGACCCTCCGCCGGCCGGAACTGAAGAACACCCGAAAGCCCTCTTCCCCAGAAGGCGCAAGAACACCCGCGAGACACGAAGAACACTAGTGCACCCTCCCCGAACCTTGGGCGTCAATTAATGGGGGGGGAATAAATGGGGCCTTCAGGGCCCTGCAGGGCCCTTTTTCTGCCTTGGTCCAGCTGCCTGCGGCAAACCCGCCACCTCGCCTGTTTCGTTAAAGAAGCATCGGAGCTTCTCTGGGGCCTCTTGGGGGCCTTTGAGGTTCGTTTAAGAGGAGTCTTGGTGGCCCCCATGGGAGCCTCTTAGGGGCATGTCGGGGGTCTTGGAGGACATCCTGCAGGCTGCAGGAGAAGGCTGCAATGGGGGAGGGCTGCAGAGGGGGCCCTTCGGGCCCGAGCAGGGCACCTGTCTCCCCCCCCGGGTGCCGCCCCTCCTTCCTTCGCGCCCAGGAGCCGCCCTCGATGCCTTCTGCCTCGGGCCGGCCGCACTTGGACCATCGCTTCGCGCCGAAGGCCCGCTGCCAGGAGGAGAACGGCGCCCCGCTGCAGGCGCGCGCGCCGCGCCCGCCTCGGCGCGGGGGCCGGCCCGCGCTCCGGGGCGTTGCGCGCCGCGCGCGCGCCCCAGTGCACCGCCCGGAGCGACCTGTGTACTTCGCGGGCACAGCAAACTCGCAGTGGCATGCTCGGACGCTGCCGTAAGAGTCCTTCGGTCTATCGTCACACCCCCTGGCTGGCAACTCACTGGGCGGAGTCCTTGCCAAGTCCAGGCGGAGGGATTCAAGCATTACCTCGTGCTTGCTGAGCCGCTGATAAGTAGCAACATAGTTTGTGCGTGATTTAAACGTGTGCCTTCTAAGCCTAGGTACGTTGATCACTTAGTCTGGCTAAGAACATCAGGAACGCAGAGTCTGGCACGCACGAAATGACTGCCACTCTCGTGCTGCATCGAACCTCAAAAAAATACGACATTGATTCAAGGCGGCGTTGTTGCTGTTGCCTCTCGGCCCTCCCAAGGATGTTGAAGCTGTCGGTGTGCGACTGCGCGCGCGCGTTTCCAGGACAGAGTTCGCGTTCATTCCCAGCTTGCTTACGCGGCGCGCGTGCGCCGCGTCAACGAAGAAAGCGCGATCACCGGGTGGACAGACGACTCAATCGATTCTTGACGATGTGCGCCCAAGGGGTCTCTTGGAGGAGCCCCAGTCCACTCTGGTGGAATCGAGAAAGGGTTCTGTGACTTTCCGGGCACTTGCTGGAAGCAGCTGGAGAGTCCTGAAGGCTTCTGCAACATTCTGGCAAGTCCGTCGATGCTTGCGCGCGCTCCAAGGCAACGCGGACCACCCGCCGCCGCCGTCGGTGGGAGCCATGGGCCGCCGAGGGCAGGGCGACGACGCAAGTCGCCTGTTTCCCCGCCCACCATGCAAGCTGCGGCGATCGCCGGGTGATGGATGGAGGCGCCGCGCGCAGTGGCGCAGTGGTGCGCGGGGAACGACGACTGGGATGACCAACGGCACGATGGTTGGATGTCCACGTTGATACGCAGCTGGCCAGGGCGGTTTGCTGGTCGACTGGATGCTTGGCACAACGTGGCAGACAGGACGGCTGCCGCGTTGGCTGGGTGGTCGAGGAGTGAGGGGCCTCTCTCTCCCTCTCTCTCTCTGTCAGCATCGGGAGCCGAAGGCAGCGGGACAGGCGGACTGCGCCGAGCCGCGGGTCGGCGGATGGCAGACGTGAGTGGGGCAGAACCACGGCAAGTGCCAGCCGACGACGAGGGCGGCGCTAGGCCGAGGAGTGGCCAGGCGCACGGCAATGGAGGCAATTGCCCGCGCTGCGTTTCTATTTTAGTTTTGGACGCGCGGTCGCGTCCAAGACCCTCTCAGTCCACACCGTCTCCTCGGCAAATCACCTGTGCGACTCCTTCAGGGGCCCGACCTGTTCCATTGAAGCACGATCGGGTCGAGCATCGCCGCCAAGTCTCCAAAGGCGGTCGCGGTCGCCGTGGTCATGATGAAGTCCTCGTCACCGTCCACGAACTCCTCGAACAGCATCTGGATCGCCCGCAACCCCATGCGGTAGGTCTCGTGGAAGGCCACAAATCAGGACACCCTTAGCATGATCACTACCGAAAGGCCCCAATTCTGAAATCTATTCACTCCGCGGATCTGTGTCAGAATCTTCTCCAAGGCTGCATCGGTGTCTGGGCGCGGCTTGCCCGGTCCTTCCGACGCGGGTCGGCCGCAACGATGCCGGGGCACCAACCCTGCGACCAGGGGAACTCTACTTCCACTTGGTGATCACGTGGCCCGCGGGCCTGCTCTTCTCTTTATCGAGCCACGATTCCCTCCCGAATGGGCCGCAGTTGATGTTCATGACCCAGGTTATCTATACGTACAGCCGTCCTCTACGCGTGAGCGTCGCACTTCTTGAAGGCTTGCTCACAACTGTTCCACGCGCGGTGGTTCTCGTCGTGGAATGGCACGTGCAGATGCGCCCCCCCTCCTACCGATGGGATGAAGGGGCGCACAGTGGCACGCCCTAAGTGGGCCCAGGAAGTAAGTTGGTAATGTCGATGATGTCCCTATATGTACGGATAACGAATACGGTGGGATTGGAGGGAAGACGATGGAGGAATGAGAGCGGATAACGGATGGATATGAAGATGTGAGGCACGATAAACGCGAGGAGGGGTGATGCTAAGAGAAGGTTCCAGAGGGTGGAGGGAACACTGGGGGTGGAGGATGCGGCCGATGGAGGCGCCCTCCCCAAAATTCTTGCCAGTAGGGTTGCGGCTTACTCTGGAGATGCACCACAGATATCACATGTTATAGTAATGGGCAACATGCCACACCTCCTAACACGTGCAACATGAAACTATAGTGGGCTACTGCATCATACAAGCGGTATTGGTCTCAAGGAGGAGGAGGAGAAAACATGGTGACGATAACCAGACCAATGTGTTTGGGTCAAGGGCAAGGCAAACTGCCAACGCACATGAATATCTGGGTACTCGAGAGGGGTGTTTATGCCCGCATGCTCACGTCTGCTAGGCTCGCCGAGGATAAAACGAGCTGCCACACAACAGAGCAAGCGGAAACACGACGCCCGCACTCACTACCAGAACTGCCTGCGAACAACCCTGGCGCCTCCTTGTGGTAATCCTCGCCATCATGAACCCACTCCTCGTCCTCATCCTCTTCCAGTGTGTGCAGTCTGGCTCCATGAAAACGCACTGTTCGCTGCAATGTTCACACGAGCTCAGCGAACGTGTAATCCTTGTGCATTCGTTCGAACAGCTGGTGCGTGCAAAAACAAGCGTTGCGGCGCTAAGCATCGACGCGCAGCTCGCTGCAGGCCGACGCACGTGAGGGCCACAACTTGATAACATTCACCAGCCTCCCCCGCCCCAGCGTGTTCCAGCGGGGCAGAATAAATACCAGCCCGACTTGCGATATAAACATGCGTATGCACATGTATATGTACACATCTGTAAGTGTATGCATTATATCGTTGTTGATCGCTATGTTGCTCTCAGCTCGAGGGAACGGCCCAAATCCTGTAGTTCATGCACGCCGCGGTAACATATTAACCACGCAGCGGTGCCAGTTTAAACTGGATACGTCGATGTGCTAACATCGGGCATTGTAAATCATGCAAAAGTATGCACATGCCACACGCGTCAAAAACTCAGACAACCACTCACTCTCGCCAACTCTAACTGACTTACAGCTACTTGTATCAACTCGTCCAGGTACCGGCCGAGTCCGCTAAAGTTACCGACCAATCACTTCGTACATTCTAAACAGGCAGCCTTGAGAGTGACTTAACTAAGTGATCAGTCCGTTCATGTGGTGAGTACTTTGCGAGCTGCCCTAACTCACTTATGATTTCCCTACCCTCCATGTGCGCAAGGTGCTTATTGGTCCGCCCGTCTATCTCATCAGGAAGAGCACGAATTGCAGGAGGACCGGGAGAGGGAAGCGCAAGGCGAGGAGCAGGATTGGGATGTTGCAACAGGAGGCCAAGACATTTGCCGATACGATCCCAGAGGTCCCCCAATACGATTTCGATCCGCGGCCCCACAAGTCCCCAACCCTTCTGCGAGTGCAGTTTTTAGTCGCAGGCCCATTTTTGATGGCCCCTGGGCCCGATCGGATGCCCCACAGTGGCCGCAATGGATTGGGCAGTAATCGATCCGCTGGGGAGGTTGGGCACGTGCTGCCGGATCGGGTGGAGGCGGGGGGGTGGAGGAGGAGGAGGAGGAGGAGGAGGAGGAGGAGGAGAAGGAGGAGGAGGAGGAGGAGGAGGAGGAGGAGGAGGAGGAGGAGGGGGGAGATGAGGAGGAGGAGGAGGAGGAGGAGGAGGAGGAGGAGGCGGAGGACCCACCCTCGATTAGTATCCCGCTCAGGGTATCATGGGAAATCTGGCGGGGACGCGCGCGGTCGCGCTGGCTTCTTCGGCGCCAGGCGGCAGACAGGCGCGCGTCCCCCCCCGCCTCCCTCCTATGCAAGGGGGAAGCCTCGGCGGCGCCGAGGGCGGCCGCTGTGGGGCTGCCGAGGGTGGCGGCGCTCGGCTGCAAGCTCACCGTCCTCGGGCTCGCAGGAGAAGCAGGCGAGGAGATGCGAGGAGGCAATGGGGGGTCTCCCTGGTGGTGTGGTCCTCCCCTCTCGCTCGAGACATCCCCAGCCTCCAGACCGGGGAGGTATCGTGGACCTCCTCGCTGGAGGTGGGCCCCCTGGTGCCGCTTCTCCTCCCTCCGAGTGAGTGGGGCTGGCTCGGGGGGGAGCCTCTCTCATCTCCCCTCCCCTTGCTTTGGCGGCGGGCCCCAAAAAAGGAATAGAGAGAAAAGAGGCAAGCCTTCTCAGTCAGAAGGCGGCGGGGCTTCTCACAGCCCCCCGGGCCTTCTGACAGGTTTGTCGCATCTTCGGGGAAGGCTGAGACGACTTGCCAGACGGCCCGAGGCTTTCCGAGCCTGCTGAGAAGGCCCGCCCACTCTCACTTCCCTCCTGGGCTCGCCGCCGGCTTCTGCTGCTGCTACTGCTCCTCCTCCTTCTCCTCCTCCTCCTCCTCCTCCTCCTCCTCCTCCTCCTCCTCCTCCTCCTCCTCCTCCTCCCCTCCCCCCTCCCCTTCCCCCTCCCCTTCCCCCTCCTCCTCCTCCTGCCCCTCCTCCTCCTCCTCCTCCTCCTCCTCCTCCTCCTCCTCCTACTACTACTACTACTACTACTACTCCTTCTCCTCATCCTCCTCTTCGAATTATAAGTTGAGAGCGCGTCCCTTTCTCCGTGTTCTAAACTCGGTTCATGCTTCGCAGTAACCGAACGCGGGCGATAATAGTACCCCAGGGATAAGAAAGTTCGGGCATCTGGCGGTGATGATAACATATTTTCACGGGGATGAGGATAATGAGGATGACGATGACGATGACGATGACGATGATGATGATGATGATGATGATGACGATGATGATGATGATGATGATGATGATGATGATAATGATGCTGCTGCTACTGATGATGATGATGATGATGATGATGATGATGATGATGATGATGATGATGATGATGATGATGATGGTGGTGATCCTGGGCGCGCGGCACAAGGCTGACTCGAGAGATCTGCCACCGCTGAGAATCCCACAGCCCTGCCACACGCTCGTGATTGCGGACGCTGGTGTGGTGAGACCACCATGGCCATGCTCAGGGTTTTTGATGCTGTTGCTAATCAACATGAGATGATAGCAACTTCGATTCGCAACTTCCCCCGTGGATTAGAAAGTTCGGCCTCCGCGCCTATCTCCACAATTAAATCCTGTTGGACGGGGATGATAAAAATAGAGGGGGATAAGGGGGGGGGAGGCTTTATTATCGCCCGCACGCGGTTAGTTCACCCATGCCCTGCACAAGGCTGGCGCAGCTGACCTGCCTGCTCGCGTGGCTCACTCGCTCGGTTCAGGGAGGGAACATCGACCTGGAATCGATGATACATTCGCCGATGGATCGGCAATAGGCTCTCGATAGTGAATCCGCACGCTCTTGGGCGGGGCGGGGCTATCGGGGCTCCTGTCGGCGATCAGTGGGCGATCAGGGGTCGATGCATCCCCCCCTTGAACCTATCACCCGCAACGTGACGTGACCAGAGGCATGCGCGCTGACGCGGCGGGAGGGGGGCAAGTGACGCTCCGAAAGACCAAACACAAGCGCGCACGACGCCACGATCGCAACGCACGCGGCGATCGGGGGGGCCCAATGGGCGCGCACCCAAAAGTCACTCCGGCGAAGGGCCACCCTTACATACGTTCGACCCTCTCCGTCGACGCCCCCGACATCCTGGGGGCCCAGGTCCCTGCCGGGCAGCACTCCCGCTGAACTCTCGCTCTGCCCCCCTCGAGGGTCGACCCTCAACACCGTCGGCCGATGTTCCAACCTTTGGGGGCTCTGAGCGGCTCCTCGTCGACGGGGACAGATTCCAATACGAAATCGTGGCACGTTAGTGCGCCCCAGGACATCTCCAAGAGCCGATGTTCTTTCACGAACCCAAACCTCCTCGTGCCGCAACAAAAAGCACTACGTTTTCTTTTGATCGAACAATGAATGCCGGACTCTAGGGATCCTCACCGCGATCCGGGACCTAAACACAGACGACTCGGCACCGAAAGCAGGTCCTCTGGACGTGGCTCAAAGTCTGGCAGGGGTCCCGTGTTGAGGGTCTGTGGGGTGGGCGCGATGCCTCCTGGTCTCCTCCAAGTCTGCCTTGTCCTCCTCCTCCCTCATCTTCGTCGTCCTCCTCCTCTCAGTTGTTCACCCTCCCTCCTCCTCCTCCTCCTCCTCCTCCTCCTCCTCCTCCTCCTCCTCCTCCTCGTCATGACTCCCCTTCGCCGTGTGTTCAATGTCCGTTTCCGCCCGCAGTGTGTCACACAGGAGGAGCATCTACGCTCCTCTTCACGAGGACTGAAACGCCGCTCCTGGCTGGGGATCAAACGCTCGTCATATCCTCCTCCTCCTCCTCCTCTTGCCCTCCTCCTCCTCTCCTCCTCATCTCGTCTCCTCCTCCTCCTCCTCGTCCTGCCCTGTCCCGCTCGCCACGAGAACACCGACAGTCAGCACACGTGATGCCACGTGAAACAGCGGAGTGTTTCGCCTGGTGCCAGGGGCGGAGCGGGAGGAGGAGGAGAAGAAGGAGGAGGAGGAGAAGGAGGGGGAGGAGGAGGAGGAGGAGGAGGAGGAGGAGGAGGAGGAGGAGGGAGATGAGGAAGATGAGGAGGAGGATAAGGATAAGGATGAGGATGAGGATGAGGAGAGGGAAGAGGAGCAGGAGCAGGAGGAAGGGGAGGGGGAGGAGGAGGAGGAGGAGTGCACGTACACAGAGGGGGGCGAGACGAGGGCAAGCGGACAAGACGCGAGAAGAGGGCAAGTGATCCAGCTCCTGTCAGTCGCCGCGCGTCTAGTCCTCAGCGGATGTTAATATCGATGTGGGACATTGTGAAGGAGACGGCGCAGGCCGCAATGAAGAAGTGAGGGAGCGCAGGAGCTCGTCACTCTCGAAATGCAGCTTGAGCTCGTCGACCTCGCTCGGCGAGAACACATGGCCGAACTCAGACGGCAGCGCGTGCTTGTCAAGCTCGCCCAGCTCGTCGTACGCTGGCGGCTGCGTGAGCGATCTGTTGCTGCAGCTCGTTGGTCTCGCTCGGCATGAGCAGCTCGTCGAACTCAGACTGCGCCGCCTTCAGCTCAGGCTGCGGCATGCACAGGTCGATGGAGTCCAGAACCTTCGCGAAGTCGTCGCAGCAGTCGGCTTTCTGACTGTGCGCGAGAAGGTTGTCGAAGTAGATGTCAAAAAAGAAAAACCAGAGGCGTCGTAACATTCATTGGTCGGCTCGGCGTGCTCGAGCTCTGAATTGAACTCTAGCTCGTAGGGTTCCAGCTCGTACGCGGTCTGCTGCGGCAGCTCGTACGTCTCGCTCGGGGTGAGCAGCTCGTCGGTCTCGGACTGTGCCGCCTCCGCATCGGCGGCCTCGTCGAACTTCAGCTCGGTGGACGCGGTCGAAAGCGGCGTGGTGAAGGTCTTGAGCGGCATGGGCAGCGCGGTGGTCTCGGACTGCGTCAGCGGCTTGGGCGAGTCGGTGACGGCAGTGCCTTGCATACCTGATGCAGGCGGCTGGCAGTCGCTAGAGTGCCAGCCACCAGGATGCGGCTCGGGCAGCGAGTTCAGGATCTTCATGAAGCCGTTGCAGCAGCCATCGCGCTTGACGTGCGCCAGCAGGGTGTCGAAGTAGTTGTCGAAATGGGGAGAGCATCGCGGTTGTCAGGGTACTGTTGTTGGCCTTGTAAGCACTGGACGTGCTGCTCGATGGCGTCGATCTGCTGCTGCATCTCTTCGGTGCCCACTTCGATGAGCTTCAGCCTCTGGTCGACTGTGTCCAGGAGCTCTTTATACAGGTTGTTGACGCGCAGCCCCAGCTGGGTGACTTGCGTCTTCAGCTCAGTTGGATGAGTGCGGGCTTCTGCTAGCGATAAGCGAACGTCAGCCGCAACAGTGTGAACAAGTTCTACCACTCGGCATGCTTCGTCACCTGCTCGGCGAATGGCATGCAGGCGACCGTGAGTTTCATCTGCCGCAAGCCGTGCATCAGCTGCAGCTGCGTGGACTTCATCTGACATCTCGCGGATGTCGAGGGTCAGGATGTGCGAGTCGTACGCGCTGCGGAGCTCGGAGTGGATGTCGATAACCTCTTTGGCGACCTGGCTCTGGAGGGAGTCCATGACGGGCTTGACCGAGGTAGCGAACAGGGTGGGCAGCTGCTTGGCGTTGGAGGCCGACAAAAATTCGAAGCCCGCGAAAAGCTTTTCGTCCAGCGTATCGAGGGCCCGCTTCTCGAATGTGTGGAGGATACAATCGAGGGTCGCCTCGCTGGGGAGCGCTGGGCTTGAGCCACAATGGCAGGAGGACCCAGACAACCTGGAACGGGTACCCGGCTCTATGGAGTCGACGCGGGGCTCGAAGCTGTTGGCCGCAGGCATGTTCTCGCCGATGGTGTCAACGGCGGCAGCGGGAGCCCACGCAGGGAAGTCCGTGTCGTAGGTGTCCGCCCAGGCGGCGTGCTTGACGGGCGGCGGAGATGGAGGGCTCCTCGACGTTGCCGACCAGCGTTTGTGGCGAGCGATGTTACCAGCCGTATTCGAGTACTTGAAATCTAGCTCCTCCTGTGGGGTGAGGTGTCCACGGGCAGACGCCACCGGGCAGAGCTCGGAGCCGCTGCGCCTGTGGAGCCTAGTCTTGAGCTCAAGCTTGCGCACGTTGTCCGTCGCGCAAGCCCGAACCTTCGCCTCGCGCGAGACGGTTGTTGAAACAGAGATCCGAACCAGCTCAGGACCAGCACGTGGACGCATTAAGTACTTGTTCCACAGCTCGTCGCCGGCGGGCGTCAAGTGCAGCGAGGGAACGGCGTCCGCGGGGTCGAAGAGGGTTCGGGGTACGAGTCGAAGTCGTACGAGTTGTAGAAGCTGATGAGGAAGTCACCGCGCTTGCAGCTGGGGACGTCCATGGAGCACCTCGATTGGCCGTGCGCATCACCGCGCTTGCAGTGTAGAGG